AGTCTCCGGAGAAGGGCGGCATATAAATTAAAAAGCAAAAAAAAAAAAAAAGCATAAGGAAGGGATGGCATCGGTTATATTAAATCTGCACTGCATCAACCCCAGATGATGACTGTTTCAGGTTGAGATGAGATATAGAGGGTTAAGACTTTGGTTAAATAACAGCCTCGGGATAAATTGGAGTCATTTTAGCGTAAGCTTTTAAATATTTACACACACACACACACACAGATTTTACATGGCTAAAGAGAGAAAAGAATCAAGATGGTTTAAACCTGTCATTGGTGAAACTAATCCATGCTTATTGCAAACTGAAAGGTAAAAATAATGTGATGAACAATTATTTAATAAGTCTTTGACTAAAGAGACAGCTGCAAAGCGGTGGTAAGATTAGGACTGAGTCAGTCAATATTTTATTATTTTCTGCTGAAGCTGCAAATTTGTATCATTTTTTCCCCCTAATAAAATCCATAGACTTTAATTGCTATCTTTGTATATCACAATATTTTATTACTCAACTATTCTGTTTGTTTTACACTCTATGTCTCAGGACCAGGGGTGGGTTCTACTTACCTTTACTACCGGTTCACATCGTGCCCGCGCGCAATGCTTCTGCGCAGATCAACTTTGATGACGTCTGGGTCAGTGGGCGGAGCCTCCCACCAGTTTTACTACCGGTTCTTGCGAACCAGTCTGAACCGGGGGCAACCCACCACTGTTCAGGACATACAGACTATATACTTCTTGATCTATACTCCATATACATATGCCTTCCTGATGTGGAAGAAAAGCATTTTCTACATTTCTTAAATGGAAAAAAAAAAATAAAGACTAAGGAACAGGAATTCTGACATTCATGAAAACAAGGGGAAGTCCCTCAAATGGGCAAATTCTGTCTCCTCAGTAGTGTGATCAAACTGAAACATGCACATTCAAGCTCCTCTGAAGTTTCAATTGGCAACTATGATTCATGATAAGAAACTCAAATTATTAATTTGCCTACAGATGTAAATGGCTTTCAATACCAGTCTCATTGCTAAATTTTCAGTGGTGCTTAAATAATAGATTTCCTCCTCTGCAGTTTTTAGCTCAAGTCTTCTACCTTGGCATCTGAATTCTTCTCTTTTTCCCTCTACTTTTGGTTTTAATTATCAGCTTTAGTGAATTTAGCCTACTGTTCCTTCCACGTTTCAGCCTTCCCTACCAAACCATCCCCCTCATATCCCATCATTCACTGAAGCCAGGAAACTGGATGACTGCCCCTGCAGAAAGCATTTATGACTAAACCACTTCCACAGAAACTCTAGGAGTCTGCTGAGTGGAAAGACTCTGTGGGTCTGGCCTGCAAGAAGGCTGGAGGTTAGGCAGGACATTCAGCATCAGAAATAAGGGGAAATTTTCTGACAGTGAGAACAATTAACCAATGGAACAGCTTGCCTTTAGGAGTCGTGGGAGCTTCATCATTGGAAGCTTTCAAGAAGAGACTGGACTGCCAACTGTCAAAAATGGTGTAGGGTCTGCTTGGGGGGGGTTGGACTAGATGACCTACAAGGTCCCTTCCAACTGTTCGTCTGTTAATCTTCTCCATTTTCTTCCTTCACAGTTAGGAAGAAAGTTCTAATCAACCCTTCTGGTTCAGCAGCAATCACTATGCTATATCACAGGGGTCTCCAAACTTGGCAACTTTAAGACTTGTGGACTTCAACTCCCAGAACTCCTCAGCCAGCTTTACTTTGCTGGCTGAGGGGTTCTGGGAGTTGAAGTCCACAAGTCTTAAAGTTGCCAAGTTTGGAGAGCCCTGCTGTATCAGAATGAGAGAATCAATTTGAGAGATCAGGGAAGGTCAGTCTGACAGGAATAGTTCTGTCCAATCCTGGCTAGATAGGTTAGAGCCCTATTAGACCAAGAAAATCCTTGTTAGCCATATGGGCAGATTGAATGTTGGAAGGATGATTGCCTTCAAGCCTTTTTAAATAATAACAATCCTAATATTCTTGAGAAGAATCCACATACTAGTTGTGGTTTACTGCATTTTCTAAGATGTAGTCATACCAAGTACCTGAAAAAGCATGAATGCTACTGCTAAAGCAAAGACCTAACTCACTAGAAAGCTTTGTTATAGTATTTCCTATTTATTCACTCAGCCTTGGTGGTCAGGGTGGGTTATTCCCAAGCCAATGATTATTTCACTATTCTGGAAGATATTTTGAATGTCAGTTCTAGTGACTCACTGCTGATAGAGCTGATAATAACTTTGTTATACTCCAAGGGGAAGAGCCACTCTAGCAACACTTCTAACCAAATATTTTTTTCTTAACAGGGGCACGCAACACCATTCGTGATAAGCAAAACATCACTTCCCCTTAGCAGCAGCATTTAACTTTTCTGGACAGAACTTGTTGTCAACTTTCATGCAAACCGTTACTGAATTCCAGCATCAAATGTTCACCTGATTTTGATGTGTGAGGAACTAGATTTTGCAACAAAACCATTTAATAAAAATGAAAATAATCTTTCCAAGGCTTCAGCACACGGCCTAACTCTGGAAATATAAGAATCCATCACAACTCTATCCATCACAATGTACAACATATCAGAATGCAGAATAATTTTATAGGGCATCTCCAATAGCAGAAATCTCATCCTGCTTCTGCACTAATGCAGTACAACAGTATTACTGTGCTGTTATTGAAAACTTCCGCTCATGCTGCAGTGTCCAAAACCTTTATCTAATCTACTATAGAAAACGAACAATTATACAAAGTTCTTCAGGCCACCAGCCCATCTATTTCTCTAGTCCATGAGTGTCAAACTCAATTGCGTCACAGGCCAGATCGTGATGTATCGCGACGATTTTTGCCTTTGTGGAATGGGTGGGCATGGCCTGTGCGTGAAGTATCCAGCCCACAGGACGCCAGTTTGATAGGCCTGCAATCTAATCCTTACTGCATACCAGATGTAGGTTTCAGCAGGTTCTGAACAGTTCTGGAGAACCGGTAGTGAAAAGTTTGAGTAGTTCGGAGAACGGGTAGTAAAAATTCTGACTGGCTCCGCCCACATCTATTCTCTGCCTCCCAAGTCCCAGCTGATTGGGAGGAAATGGGGATTTTGCAGTAACCTTCACCTGCCATGCCCACCAAGCCATGCCCACCAAGCCACACCACGCCCACCAAGCCACGCCCACAGAACCAGTAGTAAAAAAAATTGAAACCACTGCTACATACATGTAAATAAGATCAAAATATTTTTAGATTCCCCCCCCCAAAAAAACTATTCTAATATTCATAGTATTACAACCATAGACATGTCTATACTGCATTGCTATAAACTAGACCTTCAAGATGATCAATCACTGTTGTCCTCACGGTGTTAAATTTTGAAGCTAGATAAAGGAGTTTGGAAGCAGGATCAGCTGTGGAAACTCCCTATGGGAAACAGGTCATTTCAATAGACCACAGAAGTGCTGCTGATATTTCATAGAAAGTATGGAGAGGGAGAGCTAAAGAGAGGCCTAAGCATTAGAGTAGAATTAGGACATTGTTAACATAATCAAATCTGCCAGTAAATGGGACATTTTTCTGGCAGACACTTAAAAATGATAGCTGGAGGGGGTCCGATTCAGTCATTCACACACTCATTATCCAGCAGAGATAGGGAATAAAAAGTAACGATAATCAAGAGGAATGAAGAATAGGAATATAAAGGCTTCTTTCTTCCTCTAGATGCTTCACAAGAGGAAGTGGGAAAAGATTCTAAGGAATTACAGATGGCTGGTTTAGCAAAAGGGGAGAAGTCGTGATATGTCACATGACGACAGCGTGATGACACAAGTTTGATACCCCTGATCTACAGCAGTGGATTTAGGGAAATTCTGAGGACTTAACAACTAACCCAGAGAGAAAGCAGTCATCTGGCTGCAGCAAAATCATTGGACGGTTAGCTCACAATTTCCAGACGTTTAGTAGGATCTAGTAAAAAAACAACCCCTAATTCTTTAAATTATTTCCATGGAAGAAGTTAGCAGTTCTATCAAATGATACGATTCAAATGAATCATGTGGAATATTTATCAAGGTAAAGGTTATTATGATGTGTTCCTTAACATCTAGGGTGATCTTGCATAACCTGTCATATCCTTCTTGCTACAACTTGTCATATCCTCACTACATGTTTCACACTTCCTTGAGCTGTTGCAATTAAGGACCTGTTAAGTGGTTTTCCTAAGTTTGTTTCCAAGAAGGAAATCCTGGAAAAAAAAACCACTAAGAGCATAAAGGATTAGCAAATTCTGCAGGCAGAAGAGCTGATACACAAAAGATTGGCTTCCCTCTCTTTTCTCCCCACTTCTGCTGCCACACACTGAATGGCAAGAGAAGGAGAGGAAAGGGTCTTAGGCAGAGGTGGGCTGCACTTACTTTAACAAAGGGTTCGCTCGCTGGTTATTCTCTCCCCTTTGGGAGAGAAATGGAGCTTCAAACATGCTCCTAATCAACTCTGCAGCTCTGGTGAGCTGGGGTCACCCAGGGGTGACGTGGATCATAGCTGGGCCAGCCAATGAGCCAGAAAGTTAGTTATAAATGGAAAGCATAACACAAGGATGGGTGGGCAGGTGGGCCCAGCCAGCGATCAGAGCTAAGAGTTCGCCCGAACCCTTGTAACCATGTAGCAGCCCATCACTGGTCTTGGGCTTAGGGAGAGAGCTTTGACTCTCCTGCTACCAAAAGACAAATGACTCTGAGCAGGGGTGAAATCTACTTACCTTCCTTACCAGTTCGGAAGTGCATGTTAAAACCAGGAAGTAATGACACAGAGGCGGGTGGGCGGAGCCTTGCACCGCCATCGCTACTGGTTCTCCAACCACCTGCCACAATCGCTACCGGATCGCCTGATCCGGTCCAAACCGGGAGCATTTCACCCCTGGCCCTGAGAATCAATGACCAAGGGTTGTGCCTGCAGTAGTCTCAAGAGACCAATAGCACTGGGCCAGCTGCCCTAACTTACCTTGGAATGATTCAGTACAGTCTGATGGCTCAACACATTTTAAGTTGGCAGATGCTGAAAAACACCACTCTGAAGCAGAACATGAAAAGAGGAGAAGAGTCCACCTTTACAGTGGGCCATGGTTGGATGTGGTGATGCACTCCTGGCTTCAACCAATAGCTAGAGGGGTATCTTTATGCTAGGCTAGGCAGGACCTGCTCATTCCGTTAGCAGCTCTTTCGGGGCAGAGATTTCTCCACTAATCTGTTTTTGTGAAAAATAAATATCTATACATTCATCCATGCCTTGCTATTCTCTGCGCGCACTCTAGCCCAGGTTCTATTTTGTGTGGATGTGTTGTGTTTTTTTAAAAAAAGAAAATCTATTCTAATTGTAATAACCCCTTACTTTCGTGCGTGTTCCTATGGGGGAAATGAAATGAAGAAACAGATATACCAGCCTTGGCAACCTAAATAAGGAATGAGGCCATGACACCTGCAGCACATCACAATACATGGGCAAGCTGTATAACACTCCTGCCTTAAGCCCTCAGAGGGAACATGGGAGGGGGTGAAGAGCAACATCAAGCACACACAATGGGTTAAAGCCTTCAATCCTTGCTTTAATATCTAAGTCCCGGGCACACCCAGCAGAGCTCTCCAAGGCATCCTGCACCATGTCGAAGAGTTCTGGAGGGGACAGATGGCTAAATGAGCTTGGTTACAAGCTGGGCCAAACGCTGGGGGAGGGCAGCTATTCAAAAGTCAGGGTAGCCACCTCAGCCAAATACAAAGGCCCTCTAGCCATCAAAGTAGTAGATCGACGCCGGGCACCCCCTGACTTTGTACACAAGTTTCTCCCACGAGAGCTGTCCATCTTACGGGCAATTCGTCATCCCAACATTGTACGTGTTTTTGAATTCATTGAAGTTTGCAATGGGAAACTTTATATTGTGATGGAAGCCGCTTCCACTGACTTACTACAACTGGTGCAACAACTGGGGAAGCTGCCCTGCATCCCAGAAGCTCGAGACATCTTCCTCCAAGTCGTGAGCGCGGTACGTTACTTGCATGACCGAAATTTGGTTCATCGGGACCTTAAATGTGAAAATGTACTCCTCACTGCAGATGGACGTCGAGCAAAGCTGACTGATTTTGGCTTTGGCAGGGAGTCACGTGGGTATCCTGACCTGAGCACCACATACTGCGGCTCTGCTGCCTATGCCTCCCCAGAAGTGCTGCTGGGCATTCCCTATGATCCCAAGAAGTATGATGTGTGGAGTCTGGGAGTAGTACTATATGTGATGGTTACTGGATGCATGCCCTTTGATGACAGTCACATCCACAGTATGCCCCGACGCCAAAAGAAGGGGGTGTTCTATCCCGAAGGTCTCCCTCCCTTACCTGAACCCTGCAAATCCCTCATTGCCCAATTGCTTCAATTTAGTCCAGCTTCCCGACCTGGAGTAGGGCAAGTGGCCAAAAACAGCTGGCTGAAAGGAGGAACCTTAAACAAAGAACCCTCTTCTAAATAACTCTGACCTAGGACCACTGAACGCTGCTGGAGCTTTGATCTCCTTCAGCTGTTGCAAGGGGGGAAAAAACGAACCAATGCTAAAACACTATTGACAAGGGTGGAGCTCCAGAGCCAAGCTGGGGTTACAAAAAGAGGAAAGAACCCTCCTCCAACATTCAGATAACCATTCGGGATTACAGGAGAAAGGCTTTGACACAACAATATGAAGTTGAAGGAGACTGAATTCAAGGACTTCCATGATAGTAGAAGGGGCAGTGAAATAGGGATTGGAACATCCCAAACCTTGCAAAAATAGGCATCAGTGCAACCTGTGGCAGATGAAAAAAACTATGATCCTTGCCAAAAGACTTGGACATCATCACAGAATCTACACTTGCCAATGTGTAGGTGAGGCAATGAGACTTACCACAACATGATGTTGTCTGAAGTCTAATTCACAAATAAACCCTGAAGCTTCCATCTGTTGACTTCTATGTGCTTTTAGTCCTTTGCCCCTGGGTTCCTTCCCAGTGGTGAAATCTGAACTGGTTTGCTACCGGTTTGCTGGCCGTGCATGCGCGCTGCATGCGTGCATGCACAATGCACACCATACGTATGCTGAGTGCATGCACATGCACAATACACGCCAAAAGGAAGCTTGGAAAGGTAAGTAGAACAGTGAGGGGGAGGGATCATCTCAGAGGTGGGTTTCAGCATGTTCTGACCAGTTCCGGAGAATCGGTAGTGGACATTTTGAGTAGTTCGGAGAATCGGTAAATATCACGTCTGACTGACCCTGCCCCCATCTATTCTCTGCCTCCTGAGTCCCAGCTGATCGGGAAGAAATGGGGATTTTGCAGTAACCTTCCCCTGGAGTGGTGTGAGAATGGAGATTTTACAGTATCTTTCCCTGCCATGCCCACCAAGCCACACCCACAGAACCGGTAGTAAAAAATTTTGAAACCCACCACTGGATCATCTGTGCCGCACAATTTAGCTTTGCTAGAAAGCAGGGTTTCCTGCTTTCTAGCAAAGCTAAACCGCACAGCACAGCTGATCGTCGGAAATACTGGTTCAGAGGAACCAGTAGCTTTTTTTAACTATCGGTTCACCCAAACCAGAGCGAACGGTAGCATTTCACCCCTGTTTCTTCCCTTTAATTAGACATAAATGAGAATGTTGGCTTGTTGAGGATGCACATCCTTAAGTTCTCTTATTTTTAGGGAGACCTCCTTCTAGGAGATCTACAAGATGCTGAGATGAGAGAAGTGGACTCTTCTCGGCTCTCTTATTCGGAACTCAGTTTAGTTTCAAAGCTTGTTCGCTGCCCGTTAAAGCCCCTCAGAAGTCAAATAAATGAACCCTCCCGTATTGTAATCAGATTCTTAAAAGGGATCATTTTAAGCACCTACTGTAACATGTATGAGTGTTTGGGAGGAGGGAAGAACTCCATGGGGTGTCACCTGGCTAAAATAGGATATTCCTATCAAGTAGAGGCTTGCAGTTTTCAATAACTTTGGTACTGTTAAAACTCTCTTAAGATCAACTAACTTAAAGTAATTATTGTGAGATTAAGATTGCACTGGTATCTTTGAAGAAAATGAGCCAAACTGGCAAGTCTATGCTCATATCTATATATCTCTATCTCTATCATTATTTCTGGTAAATTTTATGGGACTTAAAGAATATATAAATGTAGCTTATAAACCTAAGCTTTATATAAAAAAATAACCTAAAAATAAATTAGAACAAGACATCCAAGACTTAGCCAAGAAGTCTATATCTGCACTTCTATATTAAAGCAAGTGAGTGCAGGATGTTTCACTTTATTAGACCATGGCCCCATTCACCTTAGTATGGGAAATTGCCCCAAAATTTTTCCCATGTTATTGCCTTCATCTTGCCCCTGGTCCATGAGAAAATACAGTGGTACCTTAGTACTCAATTGCTTTGAAACTCATCTAGTTTGGTACTCAATGCATTTTGATGCAAACATTTTATCCTGATACTCATTGTTTGTTTGGTATTCAATACACAAGCTAGAACTTGTCGGTGTCAGCTGCCTTGTGACTCATTACATTATTCCTTGTAGAAAAAATTGTTTGATATTCATCATTTTTGGTACTCATCACACATCCTGGAACCAATTAACAATGAGTACCGAGGTACTACTATAAATCTAAATTTGCCATAAACTATATTGGTAACAATGCAGAATTTCTCCCATAAGCTGTCACCAATGCTTCAAGGTAAATAAAACCAGTAAAACTTACTCACCTCCTATATTGGAGATGAGGTCAAGTAAACAGCTGAGGTACAACCAGAGGTATATTTAGCAAGGTTGAAATACACATGTGTGTGCCTCCTCCTCTCCTTTGGTGACTAACCAGCCTCTACTGAAGCAATCACAGAATAGTTTAAACATGATACAGCATGTATTAATTTTAAATAATCGTATTTTTTAATTTGCAAAGGTTATCTATCTATCTATCATCTATCTATCTATCTATCTGTCTATCTATCTATCTATCATCTCTATCATCTATCTATCTACCGCTATCTATCTATCTATCTATCTATCTATCTATCTATCTATCTATCTATCAAACTTTTTAATAGCCTATCTCCCTCATAGAGAGGCAGCTACAACTATTTAGGCTCAATTGATCATCCAAAGGAATACAGTTTGGTTTTATTTTTTTCTGACAATATCTTTTATGAGAAACATAATTTTGATATTCTATTATCTATCTTATTCTCTTTATTTGAGAAAATTTATATGGCTGCCTATACTCATCCTCAGAGATTCCAGGCACCTTAAAAGAATTTCATCTTTGAAACTTTGTCATTTACATCCAGCCTTTATTCCCCTTCCTCACACTCACTCACCCCTTTATGTTTTCCGGTAGGGGTTCCAATTTCCCCCAATAATTTTATTTAATTGCGTGCCTTCAAATCGCTGTTGACTACTAGAAACTTCCTGGACTAGTCCTTACAGTTTTCTTGACAAGGTTTTTCAGAAGTGGTTTCCCTTTCCTCCTTCATAGTGGTTGGCAAATAAGCCCGAAGTTACCCATCTGGGTAATCCAAGGCAGGATCAGAACTCATGTCTCCTGTTTTCTAGCCTGCTGTTTAACCACTATACTAAACTGACTCTCTTCTCCATTTACGGAGCCTTATTTATAGAGTTATCTCCTTCCTGCAATATATTAGACTTCAAAACTGATGGTTATTTTAGACCAGGGGTCTCATTGAGGGCCACATCAGGGTTCGGTTTGACCTCAGGGGTGGGCGTAGTCAGCGCAACATCACGTGTGTCGGGGGCACTGTTTTTGCTGGCAGAGGGTTGCAGGAGGCCATCCAGGCCAAAAACGGGGCCTGAGAAGGCCATGCGTGGGGCCCCCAGGCTCTGTTTTTGCTGGTAGAATGTGTGGGCCAGTTCTTCGGTGTTTCCAGGGCAGCTCTGTGGGCCAGATCTAAGCACCCCGCAGACCGGATCCAGCCTGTGGGCCTTGAGTTTGAACCCCATGTTTTAGACCATTTGGAAAACTTGTTTTAATATATGTTGGCATAATCCTAGAATTAATGCAGTGAAGAGGTTTTCAAATAAGACACTCAACAATCTGTTTCAAAGAACTGAAAAAAATATTGGTCAGAACTGGTTGCAGTTAACAAGAGATTTTTGTTTGATATAACACTTGCCTCTAGGCAGAGGGAAAATGCCTCACGTTGGCAGCCCCTGTTAAAATGAATTATGGGAGAAAGGGATCCACAGACCACCCACAAACTAGGTCTCCACCTCTGCAATTCCTTTTTCTTGTAACTATTGCTTGATACCTATTTTC